GGGGGGGGGGGGGGGTTTAGGGCGGGTGATTTTGATGATTTCCTCCGCCCTCATTGTGGAGGAGGGAGGGGGCATGCGTTCATACATGTGTTTTTGTGTTTGTAGTTGAGGAACAAACGTCGGTGAAAAACCCCCCCAAAAAATAAAAAAATGAAACAAAAAAAAAAAAAAAAAAAAGACCCAAAAACTACAAAAAGCAAAAGAAAGAAGAAGAAAAAAAAAAAAAAAAAGAAAGAAAACTCTGTTTATTTTTAGAGTACAAGAAAAACAAACAAACACAAATATATCAATTCATACATACATACAATACAATACATACGTATCTATGCGTACTGCATAATCAGCAAATATTTACACAGAAAGCGATGCGACATTGACAGCGATGTGGTCAACGAGAAGGATGGAGATAGAGCGTGAAAGAATGAGGAAGAAAGAGAGAGAGAGAGAGAGGCGGGGAAGAAATTTATATATTTATATATATGGACTTATTGAGAATTTACTCCTCCTCCTTCTTTTTATTCCCTTCCCCTCCCCCCTCCCCCTCTTTTTCTTCTTCTTTCTCTCTGCAGCGTGAAGAAGGGGCAGAGGAGGAATGTTTTTTTTTTTTTTTTTTTTTTTTTGTTATTTTATCATGTTCACTGCAAATAGACGCGTGCTTCTTTTTTTTTTTTTTTTCTTTTTTCTTTTTTTTTTGTTTGCCCTTTTTGGTGTTGGCGACGCATGAGGGAAGAAATTAGCGAATAAAAATAAACAAAAAAAAAAAAAAAAGAGAAGACCAAAAAACAAAAACAACAAAATCAAATCAGGCGAAAGGGAGAAATAACAGGCAGTTGGTAGAGCGGGGATACAAGAAGAGAGAGGGAGAGAGAGACGAGGCGAGGCGAGGGTGCAGGGAAGCAAACGGCTGGGCTCATCACCCATCAATACTCCGGTAACAAGGGAAAACAATTAAAAGGAAATATATTAATATATTTAGCCTCAAGGCTTATACAATTGCGGAAATACATCTATATAAATAAATAGGGGCATTCTTAATAATACATTTATGCTGCGCGTTCGCCATTACATTTTGGGTACCCCAGCGGTAGCCCTCCGTCAGCGGTTTGGTGCATTGTTGTTCGGTCTTCGGCGACAGGCGACATCCGCACCCAGTGGAGACTTTTCACATGTCACACATAACACCGTGTGGGGCCTCTGGAATGAAGGCAACCTTTTTTCCCTCTCTGTTCCTGAACTTGCGTTTTTCCTGCAGGAGCATTGCAATGTGGCAAATGTGGACCCACGTGCGAAGAAGAGCGCGTTGGTGCGACAGGTGGAGGAGATCCTATCCGCTGAGCAGGCGAACATGACTGTGCAGCAAGAGGACAACCCTCACGCGGTGGTTGTGACGGACTATGACAAGGCGGAGGAGGGACTAGATGAGGCCGATGAATACGGTGACTGGGGCGCCGAGCCGGGATTTGAGGACAGGCGGGAATTAGACTTTATGGAGTTAAGTCCGGGCCGCATGGGTGAACGGTATGAGGCACTGACTCCTCGCGCCTATCAACTTATGCACAGCGAAATCTCCAGCGATGTGGGTATTGCGTGCATTGACCCCCAGTAAACTTCCTA